TGTGATTGGTTAGGGCTATTGAGTTTGGGGAAAAAACAAGATCTGAATGAATTTCTCCTTTAAGAATAGTGAGCAGCTTCCAAGCAGTATAATGCCTGTCAGCAAGATTAAAGGTTAAAGAAAAAGATTATGGTTTCTTTATTTTAGAATCATTCATTCTAAGCTCCAGATACCCAGGAAAATTATTTGGAGGATAGCAAATCTGATAGTTCACTGTTTTATACTGTTGTTTTTCATGTTAGAGATGCTGTTTTTGGTTGTTTCAAACTCTTTAAAAACAGTTTTCAGATAATTATGTAAATTATAAAACAATGTTTAGTGTGAAAATCAACGATTTAAAAATTGTATCAGTTATTATCAAGATTCAGCAGTAAGCTTACTAAATCTTCATTAAAAACACATTGTATTCTATGGTGGCTTGTTTCCCATTATTTGCTGCCCTTACTCTAAGTGGATTACACATCCCTGTGTGGTATGCACTCCTCCTGGTATATTCCCATACTGATGTTCGTTTTGGCCACATTATTTGGGGGAGAAGTGACTGATAAATGCTACCTCTGAGAGAAAGCTTTAAAAGACATCACAGGGTTTGGCCATCTGTTCCCTATACCAAGAGTCTGGGTTGTCCTTGGATTGTCTCAGGATAAGGAGAACATGGAGCTGAGTCGGCCCATAAAGGACATTTACCACAAAAGAGAAATCAACCTTTGTTTCTGTAAGTCACTGAGATTTTGGGCTTGTTGTTTCTACAGCATAACCTAGTGAAAGCTGAGAAACACTAATTTAAGACCTACAAAAACTCAATTTATTCTTATTTTCCTCTTTCTAGAGATGAACAAAGAATGATTCTGGAACTTTTCATAAATCTTTACATACAACACAGAAGTTTTATTTGCTTAAATGACTTCAACATGACAATAATTTCAACTTAAATTCTGATTATAAACTCCCAATATTACTTACTTAAAAATTATATACATGTGCTACTATACTAATATATTGTATACATAATAAAACACATAAATAAAAAATTTAAGTAACTAAGTAAAAATGAAATCTACAGCATTTAAAATATTTATTAACAGTACAGAAACCTTTTTTGTTCTGGCTTATTTGTAAATCAATATTTATTTTTAAAAAAATAATAACACTTTGATACAGCCATTCAAAGACCTGGATTCAGTTTATTGTGTTACTTGGTTTAAATGGATATCATAGCTGTAGAAGATAATTTACAAAGACACAGAGATGCAAATGGAAGAAGCCCATCTCATGCTGTACTTACTAAATCATGACACTACTCCTTATCTCTTATCGTGCCAGTTATGCAGAGACACATGTTCAGCACCAAAGCAGGAAAATTATCTTCAATTCTCCTGCAACTCTCATTCAGATTCCCTTTTATGTCCTGTTTTAAATGTTATTGATTTTTAATCTAATCCCTCCCTTTTTAAAATGTAAAACTTACAGAAATTTGGAAGAATGGTATAATATTAACATCTTGCCCTCTTTGCTCTGTCTCTATACATACTTTTTTTCTTCTGTCAAATCATTTGTAGGTTAAACTTAGACATATTTCCCCACCTTTTTTAACAGAAAGTAAACACAAAGTTTATAAATTCCAATAAGTAATAGTATCTAGCTAGAATGTGGTTAATATTATTTTGATTCACTGTATTTTTTTGGTTATCCTTTGTTTATAACGAATGAAGATTTTCTATTTACTTTAGCAATATAAAGATTCTTTTTAGAATTTGTTTAAAATGTAATCAATTAAAATGTTAATCACAGAATACATGGCAAAAATCATAAAGCTGATATTCAAATGACGAAAGTTTGAGGAACACTGGTAGTTAAGAACTCAGGCTCTGAAATATAAGATAGCCTTGGTTTAAATTTCTGAAACAAGTTGTAGGATATTGAACAGGGCACTGACATTCTCTGACTGCAGTTTTCTTATCTACAAAATGGGAATAAAAATATTACTTATCTAACAGGGTTATGAGGACTGAATGATATAATGGATACAATGAATATAGTTATAAAAACAACAAATGGTGGTTATTTTTATTTTTATTACTGATTATTACTATTATTCAAGAAAGAATGTTTCAGCCAGAAATGAGGGTTATGAGTCAATGAAAGCATGGAAACATTAATGACTTTTAAAAACAGAACATGAAATAAAGCTGTGCCACTTGAAACACCATTTTTGATATTAACATTAATATCAGAAATAAAAATTTCTTGGCACTTCCTGTTCACTGTATGCCACGTACAATGCTAAGTGCTTTACATAATTCCTTCATTCAATCCTTTCTAACACCATACAGGCAAGGTATTATTACATCTCTGTTTTACAGGTAAGCAGCAAAGCTGGGATTTGAACTTGCGACTGTCTGACAGCAAAACTCATGTTTTTGGTTTTTTTTTAATTCTAAATGCCCACTTCCATGGCTGCTCCTCTTCAATCTCCTGTGTTGGCAACTCACTCTCTTAGATTTAAATATTGAAATCCTGAAGGCTTTGTCCTGGACCATTTTCTCCATCAATAGTGTTTTGGGGTGTTCCAATTCACCCCTTTGGCATCCATTACCTTCTATGTGTGGATGACTCTCAAATCTGTAATTTTCTACCCAGAGTGAAAAATGACCAGAGCTCAGCTAATTAAATTGTCTCCGCACAGCCCCACTTGAATGTTTCATGGATTCTTCAAAGAGAACAATATGTACCAGCAAACAATCTCCTTTTATTAATAAATGACACCACCAGTTAGTTGCTCATGCAGAAAATGAGGAATCAACTTGATATTGCCTTCTCCTTTATTTTCAACACCCACTCAGCAAGCCCTATTGATTTTATTTCCTAAATAGTTCTCAAAAACATCCACGTCTCCATACCCTTGCTTCCACCCTAATTTAAGCCAACATTTCACATGCTCTCCATACCTCAGCCTTTTAATGATCCTCTTTACATTCACGTTTGCTCCTCCCTCTGCCTCCAGTCATTCTCCAATCAGCAGTCAGAACGATCTTTTTGAAATACAAATCTAATTATTTTAAACTACTGTGCTTTAAACTATTCAATGGCTCCACAAGGCTCTTAAGAGAGAATTCAAGGTATGCTACGGTTAAGTATAAGCGTACTGAACATTTAGGTTTAAATCTGGGCCTACTATGCTCAGTGGGCATCCTCACAAAGCTTTGGTTTCCTCGTCAGAAAAATGGAGATACCCTATCCAGAGAAACCCAAGACGCTAATTCAAAAAGATATATGCACCACTATGTTTATTGCACTGCTATTTACAATAGCCAAGACTTGGAAACAACCAAAATGCCCATCGGTAGACGACTGGATTAAGAAACAGTGGTACATTTATACAATGGAGTATTACTCGGCTATAAAGAATGAAATCGTACCATTTGCAACGACATATATGGACCTAGAGACTATTATGTTAAGTGAAATAAGTCAGTCAGAGAAAGACAAATAACATATGATCTCACTTATATGTGGAATCTAAAAAACTGAATGAACGAGGAAAGTAAACAGAAATAGTCTCAGAGATATAGAGGAAAAACTGACGTTTGCTAGTTGGGAGGGGGTTGGGGATGAGGGAGAAGGGGAAGGGATTAGACAGCATAAGTAGGCAACTACAATATTGCCACAGGGATATGAAAGACAGTTCGAGGAATATAACTAATAATGGTGTAAATATTTTGTAGGGTGTCAGATGGTCACATGTCTTGTTAGGGAGACCATTTCATGGATGGGGTAGAGGCTTGATCATTGCACTGTACACCTGAAGCTGATGTTGTATAATATTGTATGTCAACTATAATTGAATATTTATATAGTCACGGGACGTAGAGTATAGTGGAGTCAAGGGAATTGTAATAGATATGTATGATATACGGGGTAAGTGGGGTGGTGGATTGGGGGAGGGAGGTTGTTACTTTGAGGGGTAAAAAGTATAACTATTGCACTGTGTTGTACAGCTGAAACTAATTTTTAAAAATGGTTATTTCACCAAAAAATTATGGAAAAAATAATAATCAGATACACCAAATACACCCAAAATAAATAAACAAATAAATAAATAAAAATGGAGATACCACCTCTTTAAAAGGTTCTTATGGGGATTAGATAACACAATACAAAGAAGGCTCTGAGCCTTCCAAACAATGACACTGCTCCCTTCATAAGAATCTGTGCTAATTCTTTTAACAATGCCACTTCATGACATCAGGTCCCTGAATTTTCCAAGATGTCATTCTAAAATTTTTCTAAGTCAGTAGTCATACAAAGAAGTCACCAGGGGCTGGCCGAGTGGCGCGATGGTTAAGAACTGGCTTGGGACGCCAAAGGGCCCCGGTTCAGATCCCACATATGAGGGCCAGTGATACTGCCCTCCACAGCTAAGATGCTGAACAACAGCTCAACCTGGAGCTGGGCTGCTGTTGAGTCGCCGGCGACGGCGTAGGCTGCAGCCCCTGTGGCACTGGGTTGCCATGGGCTACCGTATGTAGCCAGCAGCCAACATGAGCGGCCAGCAGCCGCAGTGAGTGGCAGTCCAGAAGCCGGCGACTGATCTGCCTCGCCCGGGAAGAGCGCAACGATGGTGCCAACTTAGGGCAGTGAAGCAACGTCCTCCACATCTAGACTGAAGAACAAAACAACAGCAACTTGTCTGTTCCCCTTCCCCCAATTCCCCAGCACTGTTCCCTTCCCCCCAAACCCCAATTAAAAAAAAAAAATCTAAAAAAAAAAAAAGAAGTCACCAGATTTTCCTTAAACAATTTATGTTTTATTTTTTCTCTCTCTTATGAATGTATCTTCATTTTATTTTGAAAGGAGCCACCTAAGATGTAGATTACACTTATTTCTAAATATGACATTAAGGTCCTAGTATGTAGGACCTCATACTGGGTCCTCCTACATATGTCACTCTCATAGCAACAAATAATAACTTTGTAATCAATCTGCTAAAAAGGAAGTACCTGCATAGCAATAGGTCCTTGGGACATCTGAGAGCTGTAATTCATTCCTATCATGCCTTGCATATTAGGCTGCATAACTGAGACCATAGGAAATCCTTGTTGCTGCATCGGCATCAGACCTGCTAAAAAACATAAAGGTATCATTAAAGTCAGTGTGTTTTAAAGTTATTTTCTTAAAACCCTAAGTGCCTAAAGGACTTGTTACTTACTTGGGAGGTGGCACAGTATAGTGGAAAAAAGCATGGGTTCTGGAGTGTGACAGCCTGAAGTATGAATTCCAACTCCATTATTTACTTAGCTATATGATCTTGGGCAAGTTACAAAACTTCATCTGTGAAATGAAGCTAATACCTGTTCTACAGGATTTTTGTGCATACTTAAAAAATTAATAGTATGACCTATGTGTTATATTTGGCCTTCAAGACGGCCCCCCATGATCCCTGCCTCATGGTATTCATACCCTTGTCATTCCCTCCCACACTGAATAGGGCTGACAGGCTATTGTGGAAATGACAGGTTTGTTCTTAAAAACACAACAGCCTCCTCCTTACTCCTTCAGATCACCTGCTTTGGAGAAAGCCACTGCCACCTCATGAGAACACTCCAGCAGTCCATGGAGAGTGCATGTGGCAAGGAACTGAAAACTCCCACCATGGCAGCACAGACCTGCCATCTCTGTGAGTGAGCCATGCTGGAAGCAGATCTTCCACCCCATCGGCCCTTTAGATGACTGCAGCCCTGGCTGACACACGACTGCAATCTCTTCAGCCCTCGACCAAAACCACCCAATGAAGCCACTCCCAGATACCTGACCCACAAACACAGTATAAAATAATAAAATTTTATTAGTTTAAGTTAATTTTTTTATGCAGCAGCATACACTAATACTATTGTGGTTAAGAGGATGAACTTCGAATGCCAATGAGAAATGTCACTTACTAGCTTTGGGAACTTGGGCAACTTGCTTAACTTCCGTGCCTCAGTTTATCATCTGTAAAACTGTTTAATGCCTAATATGCTTGAAGAAATGATATTCCTCTTCTCCTTCCTTACATGAATAGTTAATATAACATTTAGCACAAAACAGCCTCCAACATGTAAAGTATATAATGCAGGGGCAGGAAAACGATCATGAAAGTATGATTTAAAGTACAGTAGCTCCCAAACTTTTCCAATGAAGTACTCCCAACAGCAGTGGAAAATGGAGATACATCCCTTTGGGGATTTAATAAACACTAAATGTCTACCATATTTTAGGCACAGTTCTGGATACTTGGTATACAACAGTGAATAAAACAAAATCTCTACATAGCCTGAACACAAATTCCAATCTAATTTTGCATTTTACCACACAGTACACCAATGTTGGTTCCACTCTAAGGAGCTTTTAATCAAATTTCAATTTATAAAAAGTAAAGATCTACTAAAGCATACCATGTTTATCTTGTGGGTTCTTTATTTATACATAGTTTAATTTCACAAGCATGGACATTTACATTTGTAGGTTAACACTTATCAGTGGCAATTCATTCATTCACTCATTTATTCATTCATTCATTCATTCACGTTATTTGAGGGCCTACTGTATGTCAGGCACCATTCTAGGGACACAACAGTGAACAAAACCAGGTCTTTGCCCTCATGGAACTTACACTGTAATTGGGGAAGATGGGTAATAAAAAATGAGCGCGTGGCAAGGGATGATAAGAGCTAAGGCAACAAATAAAACAAGTGGAAAGGGGAAAGGGACAGCCAGGGAAAGGAGTGGTTGCTATTTCATAGTCAGAAAAGGTTTCACCAGTAGGGTGAAGCAAGGACTCGAAGAAAGAAAAGGAGCAAGCCATGTGGATATTTGGGAAGAGTGTTTCAGACAAAGAACACCAACTGCAAAGGCCTTGAGGTATCAAGAAGAACTAGAAGGCACAGATTGAACATAACCATAGTAACATGTGTTTCCTCTTATTCCTTTTAATTAGTTTTATTTAATTCTTGAATGGGTAACCCCAGTATTTGGTACAACATTTAAAGGCATAAAAGTATGCACAGTGAAAAACAAGTCTCGTTTCTCGCCTGTCTCCTGTTCACCCACTCATGATCTTGTGGCCACTCTTGCTGTCAGTTTCTTGGATATGCTTTCAGAAATAATCCATGCATAACTTAAAGCCTTCAAATGATCAAAAAGTCTACTCTAACATACTTTGTAAAGAAGAAAAAAAAATCTCAAAAACAATTCTAAATTTCAGAAGAAAAAACAGCAGGCAATCTTTTGGGATCTCTTCTTGTCCTGTTTCTTCACTCCATATAACTTTTACTTGAAAGTTTATAAAAATGAAAAATGAGCCACAATAATGAACACATAACTCTGTGATGTCTTCCTAACGAACAAAAGATCTCAAACCATTTGATCTAAATCTGAGGCACATCTAATTACAGATAGCTTTAATAATGCATAAATGTGAGCACAATGAAAAGAATACAACTGACCCCTGGAAAAATTTACCTGAAACTCAACCTTCATCACTGATTATAAATGGAGACAAAGTCAGTATGAGCCACTGACCACCTGCCACTGAGTAGCTCTTTATCTTTCATCTGTCAGTGACCTAGGAGTCTGTTTCTCCAGCAAGTCTACCATAACCAATCCACAATGGCTTTGTGAGAGGGCCAGTTTTCAAAAGCAGCTTGGTGTATGGAGAGGAGGGTACAGCGGAGTGGGAGAAGTGAGCAGAAAGAGAAAGGCAGACATGCTCTTCAGTGGCACAGCAGCATGAGTCAAGATTATATCCCTTCACTACCATTTTCTTAAAATCAAAGCGAGAATTGATACTGGTGGTCCCGTCTGAAACCATGAAAGAGAAACTGCTAGGAATAAAAGTGAGACTTTAAATTGTTAAACTGAGTCAGAATATATGATCTCTTATGCACATGATTATAATAAGACCAAATTCATATAGAGAAAACATGGTAGTATTAAATAACTAAAGAGGTTCACTTATTCATTCAGTTCATTCAACAAATATCTAGAGAGACCCTATTATTTTCTATCAGCATGCTGACGAGCACAAGGCAGACATAACCCTTGCCCTATGGAGTTAACAATCTAGGAAAAGACTGGACAGAAGGGAAAAAATGTCATTCAGATAATTACAGCTCATTTCATTTTGGTCATCTGTTCTTTACTACTCTTCTCCTGAAAATCTCCTTCATCTCTGAGGTTCAATAACAATTTGTAGATATACTGTTTAAATAAGTTTGGGAGAAATGAGGAATGATTCTTATTATTCCCCAAATTATACAAGTTTTGAGAAATTTTAAGAGCAGCTTTCATATAGGTTCAAGGCTATAGGAACGTTTTACTCTATTTGGCAGCAACAGAATTTTTTACGTACTTAATCCCCAAGTTCAGAAACATAAAAGTGAAAAATAAAAAGTTCAAATCTTAACCTTTCACATACCTTGAGGGGGTCTTATTCCACCTGCAACCGGAAACATGAAGCTGAAAACAGAAGAAAAATACACTGTGATCTTCATACGTACAAGATTTCAAGTAAAAGATGTAATATTTTACATAAATGCAAGAACTGTGGACAGGCCCTTGGTGTTTATTCTCCAATGCAGTACTGAGTTATCCGATATTAATACAGACTGACCATCCATAGGACACAAAACACTCAGCATGTTAGTACAGAGGACATTTTTTGAGAGAAGACAGAAGACCTTGAAACTAGTCCTGGTTCTATAACTGTGTGACTTCCCTGGATTCCAATTTCCCCATCCATAAAATGAGAAAGCTGGGTCAGGTTCAATTCAGTGAACACTTACTGAGTGCCTCATACATGAAGGAACTGAATTAGCACAGTTTCGTAGAAGACACAGATGCAGGCAAATAACTATAATACAGGACAGAATGTGCTAAGTGGTGTGAGAGGTCCAAAATACTAATAGAGATGAGGAGAATAAGACTAATTTCAAGAAAAAGTCGAATTTGAGCTAAATCTTAAAGAGAGGCACATTATAGAGCTTGAGCAAAAGCTCTGAGGCCAGAGCTGTAGATGTTTTCAGAGATATGATTTAACATATAGGATTAGAAAACAGATTGTAGAGGGCCTTAAAGATGTTTAATTTTATTTTGGAATATTATACCAAATTGTTAGAGATTTTTCTTTTTAATTGTGGTAAAACATACATAAAATTTTACCATTTTAACCATTTTTAAGTGTAAAGTTCAGTGGCATTAAGTACATTCACAATATTGTACAACCATCACTATCATCCATCTCCAGAACTTTTTCATTATCCCAAATAGAAACTCTATACCCATTAAATAATAATTCCCAATTACATCCTCCCCGCAACCCTTGGTAGTCACTCTTCTACTTTTTGTCTATGAACTTGTCTATTCTAGCTACCTCATATTAAGTGGAATCATACAATACTCATCCTTTTGTATCGGCTTATTTCGCTTAACATTTTCAAAGTTATCCACATTGTAGCATGTCACAATTTCATTCCTCTTTATGGCTGAATAATACTCCATTGTACGTACATACCACATTTTGTTCATCTATTCATCTGTAATGGACATTTGGGTTGTCTCCACCTTTTGGCTCTTGTGACTAATGCTATGAACATTGGTATACAAGTATCTGTTTCAGTCCTTCTTTTCATTCTTTTGGATATATACCAAGCAGTGGAATTGCTGGTTCATATGGTAATTTTATGCTTACTTTTTGAGAAACTGCCAAACTGTTTTCCATTGGAGCGACATCATTTTACATTCCCACCAGCGATGTGCAATGGTACCATGTTTTTCACATCTTCACCAACACTTGTTACTCACTTGTTACTTTGTTTGTTTTGATGACAGTTATCCTAATGGGTGTGAAGTGGTAGGTATCTCATCGTGATTTGGATCTGTATGTCCCTGATGTTGGAGGTTTTATGTAGGAGAGTGAAATAATAAAAAATGTGCTTTAGGTTTCTCTGGTAACAGGGTATGGCAGAGAAGACTTAAAGTATAGAAAAAACTAGCTAAGAAACTATCACAATCAGCTTAATAAGAGATGAAAAGGGCCACAACAAAAGTAGTGGGAATGGAAAAGCAGAGGTGAATGAAAGCTATTTAAAAAGAAGAATCAGTAGGACTTGGCAACTGCCAGCATGGGGAATAGTGAAAAAGCAGAAAGAGCTGAAGATGATGCTGAGATTTTGAGCCTGAACAACTGCAAGGATGCTGACACTGTTTACTGAAAACAGGAACCCAATGTGAGTAGGTTTAAAGAGAAAGGTGGTAGGAGCATGTCCATGAGGTGCAATCTAGCAGGCAATCAGAAAAGTTAACGAAGCTTAGGAGAAGGGTCTAGGTCAATCTATTGTAGCTAGGCTTTTGTAAATAAAGGTTAAAAAAAAAAAGCTCTTGTTGTGGATAAGACAGCCAAGGGAATGTGCACATATAGTAAGACAAAAGACAACCTTGGAGAATTCTTACAGTGAACAGGGAATGGTCATTGAAAACAAAGGCAGTTGGTTATAACTGAGAGTTATAAATGAGGAAGGACCACATTTCAGGAAAAAGGAAGTAGTTACTAGTGTCTAATGCTGTAGAAAAGCTGATCAAAATGAGGATTAATAAATAAAGATTATTACTTTTGAAAAGGTGGTCTTTGGGTGAACAGTTTTACGAGGAAGAGGAAAGGACCCATAGGGAGAAAGATTTAGGATACAAAAGATATATTCAGTGATTGATAAAACAAAGTTTTTGACAGGATGGTAGTAACATAGCAAGGTGCAAAAGAGATCTGCTTTGAAAAGAGGGATTTCTTTCTTTGAGACAGGAGGTAAAGAAAATGCGAGGCAATTCCAAGAAGAAAAAACTCTGAGTGAGAAATGCTCTTAATCTGGGAGTCAAGGATCTGAAGGGGGTTTCTGGATAGACTTTTGAGAAATCCAGGAATTGTATGCCAAATTTAAGTGCCCTTGCATTTTCTACTGCACGACACTCCCCTTCCTAGGAAAAGGGCTAAAAACCAAACTTTGGAGTCTTTTAGTTCTAAAATACTAAAAAAAAAACTATTTTAATTGTAAGATGTTTTTCAAAGTTCTAGTCGAATATCTATCTGGTTGTGTGTCATTTACGACCTTACAGCGCATCTGAACCATTAGCAAATTATACTGCTGAAAAGTAGGCCTGCACCCAGAGAGGCCTGCATAGTAAACATCTTTTCTGATATGCACACAAGATATATTAGCTAAGTAATGTATTAACTGGATAAAATGTTTAAACTGTAAGTTGAAATTCGATAGTACTCAATTTTTAAAAAGTTATTCATATACTAAGATTTATAAACTTAAAGGAATGTATTTAAGTAATCAACCTGTCGAGACTTTTCAAAATCAATCTTGAAGATTACAGTTACCAATATGGCTTAGTGGCTACGTAAAACCTGGAAATTTGAGTATATGCTTTTTCCAGCTCTGCCAGAGAGTGAGTGCGAAGCTCTATGCAATCCCCTTCACCACCCCATCCTATTTCCCTTCTGTCAAATGAGGACACAGAACCACAAGTTTCCCAAAGTCCCAGCTAAGAAACCAAATAGACAAGAACAGGTGTATAGCTGTATACAGGTTACTTTGAAAACATAAACAAAAACTAAATTAAGAATATTACTGATGAACATGACTTATTCCAGTAATTATTTAACAACCCAAACTATGTACCTATGTACCATTCATATGATTCTTTGAAATGTTTAGACCACTAACATCAACATGCTTGAAAGACTAGTTAGACAAGCAGCTAAGTAAGACATTGATAAGAGAGCAAAATATGGGGAAAACACTGGGCAGCAAGATGACCAACAATTTGATTTCGAAGGTAAAAATCACTATTTATTACTGGTGTGCTCGTGTGAAAGCACAACTATCAGCTCTGCTTGTTACACACTTACTTCATGCTTCCTTTTCAGTTACCTTTGCTACTAATCTGGATTAGCCTTGACTTCTCAGGCCTGGACGCCTACGAGTCTTCCTAATGGAGCTCTCCACCTCCAGCTGCTCATTCCGCCCAGGTAAGGTGCGTCTTCCTAAAGTACCATCTGATAACCATTCCTGAGATTAAAACTATGTAATGATTCCCCTTTAAAATGAATTTCCTTAGTTTATATTCAAGGACCACTCCAGTTTTAGCACAACTTTCTTTTTCAGCTTTCTTTCACAATGATCTTCTCGCCCACTCACTGCCACATCTGTTCTACCTGCTGATCCCTAGTGTTCACTAGGCCTTCCCATCTTTATGACAATCCCTTGACTCTTCCTCCAAATGAGGCCCAGCTGAAATGCTGCTGCTGCTTTGCCTTCAACGTAGCTTGAATCTCCACATATTTTCAGAATGCTTTTTTTGAGTACGCTACTAGAATGTGCTAGCAACAGTGGAAGATGAAAAGATGAGCAAGCCCTTAAGGAGCTTATAAAAGAGAAGGAAAAAAACAGACAAGCTCACGAATGATAATATCCTAGAAGGATCCAGACTACTCAATATCTTTCAACTTTTTTTTTTCTGCAGTACTTGACTTTAAAAATATAAATATACTTCTCATCTCTTGGGTAAATTTTGCCCTTTATACAACTCTACCATTTACTCTAAAGTAGCCTATTCAGGATACCAATCAAAAGTAGGCTAATATTAATAAAGTTGGGAAATGCCATTACTTTTTGCTTAGTCTCTTAGAACACAGACAAGTATCTAAAAAACATGGTAAATTATAGTTCATGAATTTTTTCTATGAAAAGCTGACAGAGGTTACCTGGCTCCCTTTTTTTCCCCCTAAAATATACTTAGGCTACCATAATATTAGCTTCCTCATAAAATAACCTCAGCCTTGCTCTCTAAAAACCATAATATTCTTTATTAAGCATACAGACTCTCAGGCTCAGAAAGTTTTCCAATACATGTTACATTTACCATACATTATTCAAGGTAAGAACCATTTTAACCACTTCCCCCGCTCCCCACATCCTATAGAATACAGATGTTACTACAACCAAATTTTACAGAGAAAAGAAAATTTTAAATCATTCATTCTAATTTCTATCACAATTCAGGCCATGTTTATATAAAAAAAATCTGTGTTCATGGGTCAATGATGTTAAAAATACTATAAACTAAGCGGACTGATCCACTCAACTTTTTGCACCTGAGGTCTTCCCCTTGCATATAAAAAGTAAAAAAAAAAAAAACAAAAAAACCTGGGCTTAGAATACCCAATTCTTTTAAGTTTATATTTTCCCAGAACTTAGTGCCATGACTAATCATATGCTTGATCAAATTAATGCTACTCAAAACATTTTAGACTGTCATCACAGATAGAAAAGAAATAGAGATTACATTTGTCTTCAGCCAGAAACTGACTTAAGAGTATTAATGAAAAAACTTTAATGAAACACTAGAAATAGAAAACAAAGGGGAAAGAAAAGTTTTAAATCTGAAGTGAAAGACATGTAGAAGAAATGAGAAATGGGGTTGCACACAGGTGGTTTACTGAAGAGACTGTTCTTTTTTTCCTAGTATATATAAGCAGCTGCAGGAGGTGATTAACTTTAAAGACTTTAACACTTTTGTACTGTTCATGACTCCAAAATTAAGACACTGCATTAAAAAAAAACTAAGACTTTGTTTTCCAAAGATAATTTAGGATGCTGGAGATAAAAAGTAAATTTTATCTCCAAATATGTATGAAGTATGTGTTTGGCTAACAAAACAGAATTAGACTGGGTCATTATAATAGGGGAGTGAAAACTTCCCAGAATAAAATTTTTCCAAAAATGATGAACTTGTCAAGTTGCAAATGCTCATCTCCTTTACCGTTCTGGGTATGAGAACCATTATTAGCTGAAATATGACTGAGGACGGATTTAAGGACTAAGTGAAAGTCTGGGGCCTTTGTTCTAAGAGCTGCGTAATTTGTGTTTAACAGTAAATTGTTTTTTTTAATAAAGAAGACAAGTCTTAAGAGTTTCATCTACAAGAGCTCTATGTATAATACTAATTCAAAGGTGTTCAGATTTTCTTGCTGTTTCTCGTGTGTTAAGGAAATAAAAGGACAAACGCTCTAAAAGGGGAAAAGACAAATAGTAGCCCCACACACATCTTGGAAACAGTGGTTCAGCTTTGTGAGCAGATTTTTTAAAGCCTTCCCTGCCGTATTCCTGGTCAAGTCCTGGGAAAGGGAAGCCTGATAGCTTCAGAGCCGGCCAGGGGAAGAAGCGAGGTGTCGGGGATCCTTCTTTACCCAGCCCGGCAGGTGCCTGCCCTGCCAAGCGGACTCTCCCCTTCGCCTCCCCTCCGCCCCGCACTTGGGGGTGCGCTCGCTCCCCGGAGCTCGGCCCCAGCAGCCAGCGCCCCTGAGCCTGGAAGACAGGAGTTGGGCGCCCGGGCTCCATCCGCCCTCTTCGGCCTAGGCGCCGGAACGACCCTTCTCCCGTAGCCCAGTTCCAAAGCAAAAGGGGTTGGAGCGGGCGAAAACCTCTATAACCGCCAAACACCCCTCGCCTCTGCAGGGCGGGTCCCGGCCCAGCTCTTCGCACCCACCTGCCTCCCCCGGCGGCCCCCGTGCCAGCTCCCGCAGCTCCGCCGCCGCCAGCTCCGGTTCCCGGCCGCAGCGCCATCTTGCTCCGGAGTTGCTGCCGCAGCCGCCGCCACCTTAAAAGCAGCTGTCAGCTGAAGAAGCCACTTCCGGGGCAAACGCCAGACCCCACCTCGCCGCAGACAGGGCGACGGGGCGGGGCCGTGCGCCCACGTGATCCCCACGCCCCGGGGAGGGGTGGTGCGTCTTCGTCACGTGATCCGGCCGCCGCGCGTCTTTCAGGTGCAATTCTAGTTCTGGTGCTGATTGGGATGGCCTCTTGCTCCGCTGCAGGGGTACTGATTCATTTTCTGGCAAGGTCCTTTGGAGGGCCCCGCTGGCGGCCCACCAGCAAGGCATCGTCACCCCTCCGTTTGAAAAACTATTTTCGTTAGTGAATAGAGTAGATTGAGTCCTGTTTTTTAAACTGGATGGTGGGTACACGTGTGTTCTTTTGAAACTCTTTACGCATAAAGTGATAGCTTCACAACGCCAATTAATGACCAGCGCTATTTTTCCCCCTGGAACTCGGCAGCTTCCTTTTGGTACCCACCCCCAAAGCTGAAGGTATTTAAATTTTATTTTGGTAGACCAATAAACCCAATCCACATATAAAAACCTCCATGGTGTGTAACTCTTGTGTTTGGTCCTGCCAGCCAGTAATCCATTTTTCCTATGCAAGTATACCTTGGATAGGTTGCCTGTTCAGTTCGAGACCACTGCATTAAAGTGGGTCCTAATCTTTTTGCCGGTGGAGGGGGTCTTACCTCCAATTTGCAAAAAATGCAACATCTATGAAGCATAACAAAGCAAATCTCAATAAAACAAGGTATTCTTGTACTTGCAAGCAGGGGCAAAACAGTGATCAAAAGGTTTAATCTGAACCTATCTGGACATATTTTTTATTCTTTTCCTAATCAAACTACTGTAACTAAAATATGTCAAATGTAAACTTCTTCAAATGCTCAAGTAGTTTGCTTACAAGCAATGGATTAATTATAATTAGCTTTATCTTTCACTTTTTTTTTTTAAGATTTTATTGGGGAATCGGGGGAGGGGAACAGACAAGTTGCTGTCCTTTTGTTCTTCAGTCTAGTTGTGGAGGACGTTGCTTCACTGGCCCAAGCTGGCACCATCATTGCGTTCTTCCCAGCTGAGGCTGATCAGTCGCTGGCTTCTGGACAGCTGCTCACGCGGCTGCTAGCCACCCACGCTGGCTGCCAACTATACATGGTAGCTTATAGCAGCCCACTGCAGCAGGGGACTGCAGCCCACGCCCACGCCGGCCACCCAAGGCAGCCCAGCTCCAGGTTGAGCTGTTGTTCAGCATCTTAGCTGTAGAGGGCAGTGTCACTGGCCCTCATATGTGGGATCCAAACCGGGGCCCTCTAGCATCCCAAGCCAGCTCTTAACCATCGCACCACTCGGCTGGCCCTATCTTTCACTCTTGCCTCAGGGCTTTTACAGGGACAAAATTTGTAATCATAATTGTCGTTTACTGGGCACAAATCACTGGTCAGGAAATTGACTTTTTCAAATCCTCAGTGTCCCTAAGAATTAGTGTAGGCATTTTACAGATGAGAAAACCAAGGTTAAAAGAAGCTGTAATTTGCTTAGGCCATACAGCCGCAAAGCAACAGGACCAGGATTCAAAAACAAGTGTTTGACTTCAAAGTCCCTGCTCATTTCACTAGAGCCAGCTATTCAATTACCATGTGTTCTTTTTTCATGACAGTGTATAAATTTCACTCCTCCCCTTCTTTAGGTGAAACTGATTATTGGTGTAGCAGATAGTTTCAACTGATAACAAAGGTGTTAATATTTGGTATGAATCCATTGACAAACCAAGTTGATTACAGGTGTATGCACTTTCAATTAAGGATGGGTGGTTACAAAGGAAAAAATACTAAAAAGGAAAAGTCAAATGGAGTGTATGAAGGATCATAGAAGATGTGATGTTTCTGTCTGGGACATTTTGTTCTCTTCTGCCTATTGATTCTTACATCTAGAAAATTCAGCTCAGGATGTCAGCATCCCATGACGGTTCCAGTCTGGATTAGATGCCCTCTTGAGATGCTTCAGCACTGTGGCCTTATGTCTAACATAGCATTTGCCACACTATTTGTACCTTTACTCTATCCTCAACACTACACTGTACCTGCAGGGACTGTGTTATCAAGCCTTGCATTCCTAACCAAGTATAATGTTTGCTTAAGAAATATTTGTTGTGAATTTACGGCATGTTAGTGCGAGGTACTTCTAAGCTTGAGACACAGTTGGTATTACCCCCCAATTTCATAAGTGAAAAAAACCAAAACTCTGAGAAATTAAGGAACTCATTCAAAGTTATATAGCTGGCAAATGGGTGGCAGCAATACACCTACCTTCAGAATATATAGTGTCAAGGATCTGTGTAAGAGCAAACAAAAAAATCACATGCTTGTATTTTCTGCACCTTATAACAATAGATCTCCATTTACATACATTCTGAAGATGAACAACTTTTGTCCCATTTAAAATACTCAAGTTGGGATTCTATCTGTCCTGACTTTAGAGTAAAAGGCTGAGAATAAAGGAAATAAATGTTTAATTCAAATGCTGCTGAGAAAATATTATCTTATTGTACTGCAGTAGTGTTGATATTAATAATACTCATGTCAGGTGTCATGCTAAGTAATTTACATGAATGAAGTTGATTTTTTATTTCATTGTACAAAAACTACCAACTGAGAAAACTCTGCTAGTAGTAAATAGTCTCCATCACTGTATAATCATAATCCTTTACCTTTGGCAGAGACCTGCTTACTGAATGGGTGGAAGGGTCATAAGCCTCAGGAAAGATAAGCTGTAAGAGAATGGAGCCAGGGGTATATCAACTAACAGGAACATTGTTTCTTATCAGGATAAAATGTTTATCGGTTTTCATGCAAAGTCATCTTGAATGGAAAGAGACAGGAAAGAGCCTGGTTAAATGGAAAATGAAGTAAGAAAGGGAGAGGCTAACCATAATCTTATAATTGCAACATTATGACAGGTAAGGTATGAGCTACCTTACTGATGAGGTAGAAGGATATTTAATAGACCAAAGAATTTAAAATCCTAGAGAACTTGAATAATGAGCCGCCGAAGAGGCATCCCTTTGTTGTGACTCATACTACAAAAGTCCACAAGAAATTAAGAAATGATAAAATAAAGAGCAAGCTTCTTCTTGGTGTAAGCCTAGGATGTTCCTTGTCCATTCCAAAAAAAGGGGGTGGGAGGGTGGGGATGGGAAGGGGCATTCAATCTCAAGGCTTTACTTTGAAATTTGGTTCCAGATGTCTCTTCACAGCATACATCACACCTTCCTTCATACTTGAAAGGAAAAATCCTTAAGAATCCATCACATTTGGGTGTTTTTATTTTTAGCATAAGCTTTTGTTCTTCTATAAGAAGTATCTCTCTGGATTCAAACCACAAATGTCAATGAATATTACTTTCATTGTGCAATCATTTGAAAGTCACCTACATTGAAATTTGACAAAAATGCACTGAAAGTTTATGATCATTTTCCACCATTCCCATGTTCTTGTAGTTGATTTCAAGTGTTTGGTACAGGTGATTTTAAGATGAAGTATTCCATGAAAACAACATTCATGCTACGATCATAAAATTACAGTCTTTCCAAAAAATCTATTTTTAACTTTTGTCTTCAAGAGCTACTTTCTTCCTGCTGTTCTGACCAGTGACCTTTTTCCTGTGGCAAGGAAAGGAAGAAAAGTTCAATCAGAATTCTAGATATATGTACTTTCTAAAGGTCTACTAGTTTAGTAAACATGCACTGAAACCTATTGTATAATCAAATATATGAGGCATTAGGAACACAAAGATGCATTCATTAGGACTCTGCCCTTTAGAAAACCACAATCACCTAAGTGAGACAGAAAGATCAGAATAACTGTACTACCCTACAACACGGTATAAAAGACATTCTGATCCTGACCTAATAGTAAGAGTTCACACTGATTAAGTGCCAATACTATTATAAGTGCTTTACATTATATATTATATACATATATATACATATATATATATATGTATCACGTCAGATAATCTTCCTAACTTATGAAGAAGATTCTATTATTATCCTCATTTTAAAGATAAGGAAAATGAAACAGAATGGTTGGGCAACTTGCTCATCACCATATACTGGTAATAAATGTTAGACATGAATCCCAACAGTCTGATTTTAAAATTTGGTGAATAGTGAATATCATCAATTAAGTGTTAACACAGAAAAAGCAAACAGATTTTGAGAAAATACTCAATGTTTGCATACCACAATACAGTAATGCGAAGTTCTCAGATGTATATTAACTCATTTAATCCTCAGCCAACATTGAGTTGCAGAATTAGTATTATAGGGTTGTCGGAAAAGTCATGATGTATTTTGTCTATGTGTTTCAAAGGTCATTTATTTATAGAAAGAACAAAGTTCAATCAGTGATACATTGCCCATTTTGCTCAATAACCTTTTGCCATCTTTCAGTGAGCTTCATAATTCCTTGTTCATAGAAGGACCTGTCTTTATTAGCGAAAAACTGAACAAGGTGCTGATTTACAGCCTCATCTGAACTGAACGTTATACCACGCAAGGACTTTTGAAGAGAGCAAAACAAATGGAAGTCTGACGGTGCAAGGTCAGGAGAGTATGGTGGGTGTGGCAACACATCCCATCCAAGCTCCAATAATTTTTGATGGGTGATCAAACTTGTGTGTGGTCTCGCATTGTCACGATGGAACACAACTCCTTTACAGTTAACAAGCTCTGGACATTTCTGGATGATGGATTTGTTCGAACTGTCCAATTGCCGAAGGTACGCATTCAAATTGATTGTTTGGTTCCTTGGTAGGTGCTCGAAAAACACGACACCTTTAAAATCCCACCACACTGAGAGCATAACCTTCCTCTGATGAATGTCTGCTTTCGATCTCGTTTGAGGCGAATCATAACATCGGGACCAAGACTGTTTGCGCACCACATTGTTGTAAACAATCCACTTCTCATCACCAGCTATCAGTCACTTCAAAACAGGATCGTTTTCCTCACGTTTAATGAGCATATTGCAGATGTTTATACACACCTTCAAATGAACTTCTTTGAGTTCAT